AGGTAGACTTCAAAGCAAAACAGATAAAGAAAGACAAAGAGGGACAATACATAATGATAAAAGGGACTCTCCACCAAGAAGACATAACTCTTACAAATATATACGCACTCAACACAGGAGCACCAAAATTTGTAAAGCAACTCTTAACAGAGCTAAAAGAAGACATCAACAACAATACAATAATAGTAGGGGACCTCAACACACCATTAACACCAATGGACAGAACATCCAGACAGAAAATCAACAAGGAAATAATAGAATTAAATGAAAAATTAGACCAGATGGACTTAATAGATATATATAGAACACTTCATCCAAAAACAGCAGGTTACACATTCTTCTCAAGTGCACATGGAACATTCTTAAGGATTGACCATATTTTGGGAAACAAAGCAAACATCAATAAGTACAAGAGAGTTGAAATAATATCAAGCATCTTTTCTGATCATAATGCTATAAAACTAGAAATCAACTACAAGAAAAAAGCAGAGAAAGGTGCAAAAATGTGGAGACTAAACAACACGCTTCTGAACAAACAATGGATTATTGAAGAAATTAAAGAAGAAATCAAATATTATCTGGAGACAAATGAAAATGAGAACACGACACACCAAATCATTTGGGATGCAGCAAAAGCAGTCCTAAGAGGGCAATTCATCGCAATACAGGCTCACCTCACTAAACAAGAAAAAGCTCACATAAGCAACCTCAAACGACACCTAACAGAACTAGAAAAAGAAGAACAAACAAAGCCCAGAGTCAGTAGAAGGAGGGAAATAATAAAAATAAGAGCAGAAATAAATGATATTGAAACAAAAAAGACAGTGGAAAGGATCAAGGAAACAAAGAGTTGGTTCTTCGAATAAATTAACAAAATCGACAAACCTTTAGCCAGACTCAACAAGAAAAGAAGAGAGAAATCTCAAATAAATAAAATTAGGAATGAGAGAGGAGAAATCACAACAGATACCAAAGAAATACAAGGGAGCATAAGAGAATACTATGAAAAACTATATGCCAACAAATTGAACAACCTGGAAGAAATGGACAAATTGCTAGACTCCTACAACCTCCCCAAACTGAATCAGGAAGAAATGGAGAATCTGAATAGGCCGATCACAAGTAAGGAAATAGAAACAGTAATCAAAAACCTCCCCCAAAATAAGAGTCCAGGACCAGACGGCTTCTCTGGAGAATTCTACCAAACATTCAAAGAAGACTTAATACCTATTCTTCTCAAACTATTCCAGAAAATTGAGGAAGATGGAGTACTCCCTAACACATTCTATGAAGCCAACATCACTCTGATCCCCAAACCTGACAAGGACAACACAAAGAAGAAGAACTACAGGCCGACATCACTGATGAACATAGATGCAAAAATCCTCAACAAAATTCTGGCAAACCGAATACAGCAATACATCAAAAAGATTATACACCATGATCAAGTGGGATTTATACCAGGGACATAGGGATGGTTCAACATCCGCAAGTCAATCAACGTGATACACTACATCAACAAAATGAAAAACAAAAACCACATGATCATCTCAATAGATGCAGAGAAAGCATTCGACAAGATCCAACACCCATTTATGATTAAAAAAAAAACCCTCAATAAAATGGGTATAGAAGGAAAGTACCTCAACATAACAAAGGCCATATATGACAGACCCACAGCCAACATCATACTCAATGGACAAAAACTGAAAGCCATCCCTCTGAGGACAGGAACAAGACAAGGGTGCCCACTTTCACCACTCCTATTCAACATGGTACTGGAGGTGTTGGCCAGAGCAATTCGGCAGGAAAAAGAAATAAAAGGAATCCAAATAGGTAATGAAGAAGTAAAACTCTCGCTGTTTGCAGATGACATGATCTTATATATAGAAAACCCCAAAGAATCCATAGAAAAACTATTAGAAATAATCAACAACTACAGCAAAGTAGCAGGGTATAAAATCAACATACATAAATCAGTAGCATTTCTATACACTAACAATGAACTAACAGAAAAAGAACTCAAGAACTCAATCCCATTCACAATCGCAATGAAAAGAATAAAATACCTTGGGATAAACTTAACCAAGGAAGTGAAGGATCTTTACAATGAAAACTACAAGACTTTCTTGAAAGAAATTGATGACGACATAAAGAGAGGGAAAGACATTCCATGCACATGGATTGGAAGAATAAACATAGTTAAAATGTCCATACTACCTAAAGCAATCTACAGATTCAACGCTATCCCAATCAGAATCCCAAGAACATTCTTCACAGAAATTGAACAAAGAATCCTAAAATTCATATGAGGCAGCAAAAGACCGCGAATTGCTAAAGCAATCCTGAGCAAGAAAAACAAAGCCGGCAGAATCACAATCCCCGATTTCAAAACATACTACAAAGCTACAGTGATCAAAACAGCAATGGTACTGGTACAAAAACAGGTCCACAGATCAATGGAACAGAATTGAAAGCCCAGAGATAAAACCACACATCTACGAACAGCTAATCTTCGACAAAGGAGCAGAGGGCCTACAATGGAGAAAAGAAAGTCTCTTCAACAAATGGTGCTGGGAAAACTGGACAGCCACATGTAAAAGATTGAAAATTGACTATTCTTTTTCACCACACACCAAAATAAACTCAAAATGGATCAAAGACCTAAAGATTAGGCCGGAAACAATAAGTCTTCCAGAAGAGAATATAGGCAGTACACTCTTTGACATCAGTTTCAAAAGAATCTTTTCGGACACTATAACTCCTCAGTTGAGGGAAACAATAGAAAGAATAAACAAATGGGACTTCATCAGACTAAAGAGCTTCTTCAAGGCAAGGGAAAACAGGATTGAAACAAAAAACAGCTCACTAATTGGGAAAAAATATTTACAAGCCACTTATCCGACAAAGGGTTAATCTCCATAATATACGAAGAACTCACACGGCTTAACAACAAAAAAACAAACAACCCGATCAAAAAATGGGCAGAGGACATGAACAGACATTTCTCAAAAGAAGATATAAATATGGCCAATAGACACATGAAAAGATGTTCATCATCGCTAATCATCAGGGAAATGCAAATCAAAACTACACTAAGATATCACCTTACACCCGTTAGATTGGCAAAAACATCCAAAACAAAGAGCGACAAATGTTGGAGAGGTTGTGGAGAAAAAGGAACCCTCATACACTGTTGGTGGGAATGCAAACTGGTACAGCCACTATGGAAAACAGTATGGAGATTTCTCAAAAAGTTAAAAATAGAAATACCCTGGGGCTGGCCCCGTGGCCGAGTGGTTAAGTTCGCGCGCTCCGCTGCAGGCGGCCCAGTGTTTCGTTGGTTCGAATCCTGGGCGCGGACATGGCACTGCTCATCAGACCACGCTGAGGCAGCGTCCCACATACCACAGCTAGAAGAACCCACAATGAAGAATACACAACTATGTACCGGGGGGCGTTGGGGAGAAAAAGGAAAAAATAAAATCTTAAAAAAAAAAAAATAGAAATACCCTATGACCCAGCCATCCCATTACTGGGTATTTATCCTAAGAACCTGAAATCAGAAATCCCAAGAGTCCCTTGCACCCCTATGTTCATCGCAGCATTATTTACAATAGCCAAGACATGGAACCAACCTACATGCCCAGAAACTGATGATTAGATAAAGAAGATATGGTATATATACACAATGGCATACTACTCAGCGATAAAAAAAGACAAAATTGGCCCATTCGCAGCAACGTGGATGGACCTCGAGGGTATTATGTTAAGCGAAATAAGCCAGTCAGAGAAAGACGAACTCTCTATGACTCCACTCATAGGTGGAAGTTAACATATTGAGAAGGAGATCTGATCGGTGGTTACCAGGGAAAAGGGGGGGTGGGGGGAGGGCACAAAAGGGGAAGAGGTGTACCCACAACATGACTAACAATAATGTACAACTGAAATCTCACAAGGTTGTAATCTATCATAACATTAATAAAAAAAAAATGGGCAAAAGATCTGAACAGACATTTTTCCAAAGAAGATATGCAGATGGGCAACAGGCACATGAAAAGATGTTCAACATTATTAATTATTAGGGAAACGCAAATCAAAACTACAATGAGATATCACATTATACCCATCAGAATGGCTATAATTAACAAGACAAGAAATAAATATTGGAGAGGATATAAAGAACAGGGAACTCTCAAACACTGCTGGTGGGACTGCAAACTGGTGTAGCCACTATGGAAAACAGTAATGGAGATTCCTCAAAAAATTAAGAAGAGAACTACCATATGACCCAGCTATTCCACTGCTGGGTATTTATCCAAAGAACATGAAAACACGAATTCATAAAGATATATGCACCCCTATGTTCATTGCAGCATTATTCACAATAGCCAAGACTTGGAAACAACCTAAGTGCCCATGAAGGGAGGAGTGGATAAAGAAGATGTGGTATATATATACAATGGACTACTACTCAGCCATAAAAAAGATGAAATCTTGCCATTTATGACAACGTGGAGGGACCTTGAGGGTATTATGCTAAGCGAAATAAGTCAAATACTGCATGATCTCACTCGTAAGTAGACGACAAAAACAATGACAAACAATCATATAGAGACAGAGATCGGATTGGTGGTTACCAGAGGGGAAGTGGAGAGGGGGGAGGGCGAAAGGGGGGACTGGGTACACATATGTGGCGATGGATTGTAATCTTTGAGTGGTGAATACGATGTAGTCTACACAGAAATCAAAATATAGTGATGTACACCCAAAATCTGTATGATATTATAAACCAATGTTATCTCAATTTAAAAAAAAATTAACAACAACAACAAAAGGAAATCATGTATGGTGAGAGCTTGGCATGGTGCCTGGCATATAGCATGTGCTGGTTAGATGAGCTATACCATCACTGATGTCAGGTCCAGATCGGCTCTGTGTACAAGAGAACTGGGCCCTGATTCCTGATGGAGAAGGTTCTGGGAGACGATCCAACCTACCTGTTATGCTGAAGTTGGGCACGTGTGACCTGGTCTTATCCACAGCGACACGAGGGGTCAGTCCACAGGATCGGGACTAGGACGGGCTCCTGACTTCCAGCCCTGGGCTCTGCTGGCCACCACCGCAGTCTCCGAATCATAACTGCATTTGGCTCTGGACATAAAGAAAAGAGAGCCATTTGGGAGGCATTGAAATATTTCCTCCTGCACAAATTGTTTCTTTTTGTGCTGGCAAGTCCAAGGTGTTCTGACAAAGGTCAAAAGTATTTATTTTCTTTAATACTCTAGGGAGGAGAGCGAGACACGACGAGGGTGAGCCAGAGCAGGGAAAGGAGAAAGAGGGGTATTGGCAATTTTGATAGCTGAAAGGGCTCTTTTTATCACAGGAAATGGTTGTTTTCTGGGCACAGAAACGACCTTTGGTTTTCTATCAAAACCAGCAGTTATGATGAGGGAAAACTAAGAAATCGTTGAACAGACAGATGATATGGTCAAGGCCACTCTCTATCTGGCCCTGCCCACCTCCCCAGCCTCTCCCCCTGCCTCCCTGTAGGTTCCTGACCACCGAACTCCCTGTACCGTTCCCTCTGACTGGACCACCTGACCCTGTGTCTTGGCCTGCTGTCCTCCTCTAGGACTCAGATCAGGTGTCATCTCTCCCCCAAAGACCACCCTCCCCCACAGCTCTACTGTGCATCCATTACACTTGGCACTTATCAAGTTGTGTCGAAACTGCCCACTTGCCCATCTATCTCTTTCACTGGACTGGAAATCATACACAGGACCCTCAGGCTCAGATCTGGCATTCAGAAAGAGTCATGCTTTATTTGGCCTGCACTGTTTGGGTCCACATAGTGTTTTTTTAAATTTTTTGCATTCATGGCCAAAAGTTAAAAATCAAGAGATTTCATATAAAAACCCAGATTTCTGGCTTCTCTTGAGAAACGAGAAATCCAGCATTCATGGGTGCACTTCTCCACCCTTGTGGCAGCGGTCCCCTTTGGATAGAGCCTGGTTTCTTCATTTCTTCAGTCTCCACCACACCCTATTGTATTGGCATTAAGGCCTCATATCAGATCCATTTGTCACAACTCTTGCAATATTGTTTTTTATTGCAGTGGATTAAAGAAGAAAGTAAAATATTTCTTTTACCCATGTTCCTTCCTCGCACCTGGCCCACTTCCCTCATTTACATCATCAGACTAGACCCTGTAGGTCCCTGGGCTTCGCACCCTCGCACTGGGCTGGGAGCTCCTTGAAAACAAGCAATGATCTGCTCATCTCTGTGGCTCCAACAGCAAGCACAGTGTCTGGCTGAGAGTCGGTCCACCACAAACACTTGTTGGAATTATGAATGTAACTCCTGCTGTTAGAAGAGAACCTCTTTCTAAATTCTTTCACCCCTGTAGTCATCTATTCAACAAATATTTACTGAGTTCATCTGTGTGTCCATTTCCCTGAGTTGGCATTCTCTTTATCTTTGGAGTCCTGGATCCTCTTGCAACCCCCAAATAATCAAAACCTCTCTCCAGACTGCCATTCAGGTACCTCTTATAAGACCTGCTCTTAGCAACAGCATAAGAGAAGACCACAAAGAACCTTTCATTGGTAGTGGTGGTATTGTCGTCAGTAATAAATACTTATCATTTATCGAGAGATTCCCATGTTCCAGGAACTTTGCATACATTTCCTCATTCAAACTTTACAACAGCCCTGTGAGGTGTCATTAGTTGGGACTGTCAGTTACAAGTAGAAAAAAACCAAAACATCCAACACTCAAAATGACTTAAACCAAAAGGTTCCTGTAACTGAGAAATCAGATCTAGCATTCATTAAACCATGATGTGGCCAACACAGTTCTAAGAATTTTATATGTCTTAATTCCTTTAATCTTCTAAACAACACTTTGAGAAAGGTACTAACATTATTTCCATTTCACAGATGGGGAAACCTGGGTACAGAGATTTCAACAATTTTACTACAGTCATCCAGCTATAAGGTCATTCTTTTTTCCTTCCCAGAAAAACCCCATTCTGTGTTTAAGGGAATTGCCTACTTTACTAGACTCCTTGGAACCGGAGTTCAATTCCCACAGAGGAGGCAGAACATGCCAGATGCTGGCTTCCCAGCCTCTTTTGCATCTAGGACACGAGCATGTGGTAGAAGCTCTGCCAGTCAGATATGTCTGCTGTGGACTTTGATTCATGAACTAACGTGCAGAATGTTCTCTGGTAGGTGTGGTGGGAGCAGTAAGATTGAGTTACTATGACAACAAGGCAGTGTGGTTTGGGGCAGCACCTGTGTCCAGAGCCAGAGGGTCAGCAGTGTCCTCCCCAGGCTAACTCTGCTGTGTCAAGGTGACCGCCATTCCTGGCTGCTCAGCTTCTGAGCTTGGTTCCTCAGCCCGCTCAGTGGTCTATGATCTACGCCAGATGTTTCCAGCAAATTCCTTTACTGCCCAACTCAGTCAGTTATCTCCTGTTGTTTACCTATTGCAGTGGCAAAGCCCAGATTGGAGCCAAGCTGTCTCCCCCAAGAGTTTACACTTTTAACCAGTATGCTATGTTGTTTCTAGAAGTCTCCTTCAGCTTCGGGTACAGTTGGATCCAGGGCCTTAAGTGATACCATGGGGTTGATGATCTCCACCTTTTTCTCTCAACTCTTCTCTCCTGTGTGTTGACTCCAGTTTTGTCAGACTCTCCCCTCATGGAGGAGAGATGGCCACCAGCAACTCCAGGCTTACATTCCCACCAGCTCAGAACCCTAGCAGAAAAAAAGACATTCTCTCTCCCAAGAGTTCCGGGAGGTCTTGGACCTGACTCTCATTGGTCCGTATTGAGTTACGGACATGTGCTCGATTACTCTGGTTAGGGAGGGCGGTGATGCTAATGGCTCAGCCTTTGTCATTGCCTTTCCCATATGGCTTGCAATAGTATTCTTAATTTTTTTTTACCCACCTTCCTGATTTAAATGCTCTCTATAAAGAAATTTAAGTACATAAAGTTATAAGGAAGAATGTAAACATCCCTTGAAATCTCATCTCTCTATGACGACTACCGTTAACATTTTAGTGGGCATCTTTCACATGTGTCTTTACACGCACGGGCCAGAAGTTACCTGTTATAAAATCAAAACAAATAATAAATACTTCTTATCCTTTCAAAAAACAAAAAGACTTCACTGGATCTATAGAGCAATTTGAGGAGAACTGACATCTTTAGAATATTAAGTATTCTGCCCAAAGAACATGTGATATCTATTTGGATCTTCTTTCATTGCTCCCACTGATGTCCTAAGTTTTTAAATTTCCAAGTCCTGCACATATTTCTTCAGATTTATTCCTAGATATTTGGGCTTTGTGATACCAAATAAATGGTGCTTTTTTTGTTGTTGTTGCTGTTAAACAAAACTTTTTTATGGTAAATAAAATGCAATTGATTTTTGGATACTGACTTTGCATATTATGGCATTGATAAATTTGCTTTTAACTCTAATAGTTTATTTGTAAATTTCTTTTGTTTTGCTCCTCATACATAACCATGTTTGCCAATTTCTTCCTTTCAAATCTTTTATTTTTGCACTGGGCAGAATCTCAAATACAATGATAAGCAGAAGTGAACATATCAGGAATCTTTCTTTGTTGATCTCAATGGAAATGCTTCCAATATTTCCATTAAAATATGATGGCTGTTATATGTTCTTTGTAGAAAATCTTTATCACATTAAGAAAGTTCCCCTCGGGGCCAGCCCGGTGGCGCAGCGGTTAAGTGCACTCGTTCCGCTTCTCGGCAGCCCGGGGTTCGCCGGTTCAGATCCTGGGTGCGGGTGCGGACATGGCACCACTTGGCATGCCATGCTTTGGTAGGCGTCCCATGTATAAAGTAGAGGAAGATGGGCATGGATGTTAGCTCAGGGCCTGTCTTCCTCAGCAAAAAGAGGAGGACTGGCAGTAGTTAGCTCAGGGCTAATCTTCCTCAGAAAAAAAAAAGAAAAAAGAAAGTTCCCTTCTATTCCTGATTTTCTAAATTTTTCCAGAAAAAATTTACTAAAACTAAAGAGAAAATAAAGAACAGGGATAATCCTATAATCATGGTGGCAAATGAGTCAGTAGTTAAAAATCTAGCAACACAAATACTACTAAGCCCTGACAGTTTCACAGGGGTGTCACCAAACATTCAAGGCACAGATAATTCCAATCTTATCCAAACCCCTCCAGTCAAATTAGAGAATTCTGTCTATTCCTAACTTCTTCAAGTTTTTCTCCAATCACAAACTTGTGTTGAATATTATCAAATGCTTTCTTTGTTTCTATTAGGATAATTGCATGAAATTTCTTCTTAATCTGTCACAGTGGAAAATTATATGAACTCATTTTCTAATGTTAAACCAACTTTGCATTCCTGGAATAAAGTCCTACTGGTTGTGATGTAAAATAATAATAATAATAAACATTCTTTCAATCATGTACACCCCTTTTTAAGGTGATTTTTTCCCCTACTCCTTTCCTTCTCTTTTCCCAACTTCCGTTAATCTCTCTAACTTACCCCATACCTTCTGACTCAAGATAACCCACATTATAGACTGATGAGTATATTTGCATACTTTTCTCCAAGTCAGTATAGCCATAGCCACACACACACAGACACACCCCTACCTATATAGAAATCCTGCTCTTAACTCCCGCAATACGCATTTTAAAGGACAATGCGTTACTAATGGTGGCATTTTAGCCACCAGAGATTGATTGTTGAGAGAGAGGGATTTCACCCATGGAGGGAGCCCTTCTTGGCACCCCCACAATTGCACTGCACAGGTGAGCTTCAGGTAAGCTCATCCTCCCACAGTTCTGGAGTGGGTATGAGAAGGTTGGGGTGGGCACCCTCTGCCCCCACCATAGAAATGGACCTCAGCCAGGCCCTGGGCTCGAGAAATGCCTGCTGGCCTGTCTGCGAAGCTGAAGGACCTGCAAAGTCTCTTCTGCTGGAGCCCCTGAATCCGGGCCCTCCAACACTTCCTTTATGGATTTTTTTCTTCGTTCTCCTACTCGGCAATTTTAACCAGTCCAGGGACCAGTTGCTCTGCCCTCAGATCAATAGCCCTTGGGAAGGACTGTGGGTGGTCTCTGGGGAAGCATCTCAGCTGTCCGCAGAGGCA